GCAACCTTCGGCACTCCAGATGTTTTGGACTACATACCCCGTAATGCTGGCAAAGCATTATGGAAGTTGTTGTCCAAAACATTTGGAGTGCCGAAGGTTGCCTATGTCTGCCGCGGGACCTTGTAGACAGACTCTGAGGGTGGTACGCGCAAGACCACACAGGCTCAAGTGAGGAAGGTGAGGTGGGGTGCAAGACACAAAAACAGCCCATACAAGCCCCTAAACCACAAAGGAACATTTCTACCCCCTCAGAACAGGCTCCGCCACCACGCTCAGCCTCTCCAGCATCATCAGTGGAAGGGGATCGTTTAGGTAGCCCTCCCTCCAGCTCACACTTGGTGTGCACACACCAGGAAGGGGACCACAGCCCGGCCTCTAAAAGGGACATACAGAGCATGCTATCGGGCCTACAACAAAACTTGAAACCGATGTGGGAGGCTGAAAAAAATAAAAACTTAGAGGGGTCACTGAGTTGCTACCCCTAGAAGAACTGCCCCACTTCATCAGATGCCTGGTGGGCACCGTCTTACCAGCCAAGGAGGCCAAGCAGTTCTCATTCGATGGAGTGTATAGAATAGCAAAATTGCTGGAGGCACCCCCCTTGGCGCCACGTGACCTCATACTGCGCTGCTGCACAATGACTGACAAGCTGGGACTACTGGCCGCATTCCGAGGGAAGACCCCATACGACTTTGAGAATTGCAAGCTTTCCATCTTTCAAGACTTCAGCAGAGACACTCTGTCATGGCAGAAAACAATGCGGCCACTCATCGCACAGTTGCCGGAAACAGGGATCTCCTACCGGTGGGTGACACCGAAGACCCTCTGGGTCTCCAGGGAGGGACAAAATTACAAAGCCTCGGATCCCAAGGAAGGCCCGGCCTTGTTGGCCACACTGGGACTGTCTGAACGACCCTCAGCTGCTACTGCCCGCCCTAAACTAATGAACATGGAGGGCAGGGAAGATCCCACACCTAAAGGGCAAAGAGGCACCATGACCTGACTACAAGACCTATACAATACTGTTTTGTTCATCAACCAGGACACTCTTGTTTTGTGCATGGTTTGTTTTTGCTACTTTTTCCATTATCAATGGTTCAACCTACCCAGAGTGGGCATTTTCGATCACCCCAACCACTTGGTCATTAAGACATGAGTGAGGCGTCCTTAGATCACGTCCCTATGCTCCGGTTCACAACTTTCCCAAGAGTATCCCTCTCAAATCCTGCCTGACTGGAGGTGACCCGATCCTTATAAATCTGTAACGTGGTGTCTAGGGCTACCACCCTCTCAAACTCGGCAGGGGCATCCCCGGAAAGGTTCTCTACGGTTGGGCTGGTAACTCTTATTTGAGCCTCAGAGTGTGTGTTGGTCCGCGGTGCAAGCCTGGTGGTCACATATTGGGCTGTGCATAAAAAGCCATGTGTGGACTAATAAAAATCAGCCTTTGTGTCCCAGCTTTCACTTGTCCCTGCCAACCAATTGTAGCAGAGCTGCAATCCTGAGACTGACTATCTCCGCTGTAATCCTCTGCAGCTAGAAGGGAAGCGCTGGTTAGTGAATATAGCACATTCCCCCAGTAACTGGACGACACACAGCTCTGGGAGTCAACTTATTAGCCCCCACGTGGCTTTTTATGCACAGCCCCATAGTATGGAGTCTCCAGGACAAGTTTACAGGGAACTTTCCCAAGATGCACTGGGTCTAAAAGATAATTGAGCTGGAAATTTTAGATAACTTGATTATCTCTCAGTTACATGAAATACATAAACTTTTATAAAACACCCCAAAAACATCATAAAACAGTACAGGAACCCCACAGTTCTTATATCCCCGAATAGCCTGAATCCGAGTGCACAACATATCCGGAAAAAAGGTTAAATTGGTTCAGTGGAACGAGATTGCTATTCGGGAGAAAATTTCACCTGCCACGAGGTGATGCCTTAAAATAGTTCCAGAGAATTCAGGGCTGTAGCCGATCTTGGTTCAGGAATTCCTGCACAAACACCGACAAATGCGCCCCCTGGCTCTTAGGGAGCTCCCCCACAGGTGGTAGATCATATCTCCCAAACGTGGTTCATGTAGTTAAGAAAAGTATACTGGTAGCAGTACCATCTTGACCAGGGTTCGCGAGAACGTGTAGCCGAAATTAGTTCCCCACACTCGACGACCAAGTACCGCTGCCTGCGTTCGGGAGACAAGATGGGGCAGCTACCCAGGGAAAGCACTCAAGTACTTCGTAATTGCGTTTAACAGCCAGGGATGGTCAGGGTTCTAAATTAATAACAGGGGGGACCACACAAGCTCTTTTTGGCTCACGAACAGGGGGTTATTGATCTGTTTGCAAGAACTCAATATGGGTTCTGGCAACCCCAGGGACTGATGCCAGGTCTGCCACACATCTCCCTATCAAGTCGTATTCCCATAATTGCTTATTTTTCTTGCTGAAAATAACCCTTAGCCCCACCAAAAACAAAGGCTACCTACCCACTCTGTCTGTGAAGGTCGGGCTAGAGAGGGTTAGATCAGTTCCATTTTGTCTATATACTTCTATTAACCTGAAACAATTAGGTTTCCTTCCTACCCAAGCAAGAGCAAGCCCTTCCCTGCAACCCGGGGTTCATAACAGGATCCATCACAGATGGCAGCCAGTTTGAACTGGTTTGGGACACCGCCCTGCTGAGCAAACAATAAGACAAGAGAAGGGGGAAGACAATAACTAACAACACACACATACACTGTATCCCACCCAATAGGCACAGAGTGACTAAAACATAAGAGTAATCTGGAGACCTACAGAGTTCTTGGTAATGTCCATTGATACTCAATGCCAGCATCACGCAATTGGCTGATCACAGGTCCCATAGACCAGCGCCATAGTAATGTGTTGCGTGTTAGATCTTGAAAAAAGGCGAATTGAGAGTATTCGAAAGTAAGCAGTGCCTTTCTGCGGACCACAGCCATTATTTGATTATTGTCAAGGCCGTAGAAGGTTCTTGCCTTGATTTTTAAATTCTAAAGAAGCCATCAAATGCAAATGTTTTGCTTGAGCGTGTGGCATGAGGAAGGTGGTGAGGCAGTTCTGTGGTGTAAATGGGATCTGGAATGCCCCAAATCTTAAGGTTGGTGCATCTGTGACAGTCCTCTGCCAAATCAACCCTGGTTCTTAGGGTAGTGTGGGAGGACAGCATTTAGTGGACAGAGTCTTTCAGGCCCTGTACCTCCTGTTTCAGGTCTAACATGTCTTCCTCAGATGTCTTCCTGTGTGCAAGCTGTTACTGCGTTTTATTTAGGTCTTGAGCACTTTCAGGTCCGCGGCATGCATCTGTCTCATTTCATACAGTGAGTCCGAAATGTCTAGCTTGGTAGCCAGAGTCAGTTTGTCTTGGCGTACCCACTCTGTCTGTGACGGTCGGGCTAGAGAGGGTTAGATCAGTTCCTTCGGAGTCAACTAAAAGCCGTTCGAGCTTCTATTGCCAGGGCTGCCATCTTTGTTGCAGCGGTGTGCTTTAACATGGTGCTTATATACTGGGTGTTCTTACTCGTTTGTGATCTTTGGGATCTTCTGCCCATGGTATCAGTGTCTCGTGTGGACAGTGTAGACTGAAGCTGAGGTGAGTATGGTACTTCTACCATCAGTGCAGTTACCTCCAGTGCGACCCGTGCGGTGCGAAGCTCGAGGTAGGCTCCAGATCGCTCTCGGATTTACCTGTTCGTTTGCTGGAGCAAGGAAGGCATCTGCTTGCAGCTTACACCGCTGGTGGGTGGCAAGCTAGATTATTTCACACTCGGATGGCACAGTGGGGCTTTAGATTGTCAGATTAATCGCCACCAGGAGCATCGAGAAGTTACGACCGTTCACCTCAAGCACTACGCTCAACCCCATCACTGATCTTTTTAATACTTTTTTTTTTTTCCTTTCTTTCTTCGACCTCTCCGTTCTCTTCACTCTCTATAAACATCCAGGCACATGACTCATTGGGCAAGGAGAACGCCTTGAAAAGTGCTGTATTTATTGTAAGATCATACACCCCTTTAACACAAACAATGTGCAGAAATATTTTCTAGGACTGGAATTTAAATATGTTTTTAAGTAAATTATTGACGTGGGGATAACAAATAAATGATGAGCTAGTTAATAATAATATGACACTAATATATAAAGATATGAACCTCGTGACAGGTTTTCTTCCCCTTAACACACACATTCACTCTCTCACGACAGGATGTAATTTATGCAGTGTTACATTTACAGATATTCACTTACCGTACTTTACCTGCCATGTTCTCCAACTCATTGGTGTTACTTTTTTTTTGCAACACCCACCTGTGCGCCACCCAGTTTCATCATTTCTCCCCCTCACCCCTATTTGATTCCAATACACTGGCTTCATTTCCAACATGCTGGCAACTGAATGGAGTGGCATCAGCCATAGCAACCACAGCGCACGTGCAATGGTTTCCACATGTGGACAGCAGAAGGACCACCTATCTCAAGCCTTTCCTGCTCGCCCTTATTAGTCATTCCTTCAAAGAATGGATGGTGGGAGAAAGACCTATTCCTAAATGTGTTGGTATAATGTATAGGTGACATGTTATACTCTTCCAAAAAGCAGCACATTTTAGGCATCATGAAAGGTAATCTTATCTGTAAAATATACCATAGAATACATTGTGACTTGTGTTAACCCCTTAAGGACACATGACATATGTGAGATGTCATGATTCCCTTTTATTCCAGAAGTTTGGTCCTTAAGGGGTTAATTATTATTATTATTTTTTTTTTATATAATTTTTTTTTTTGGTTCTCTTCATGCAGTGCTCCATTTTATTTTATTTTTTTTAACTTTATATTGCTGATTTAACAAATGACACTGTAATCAAGTGCAGTCAAGGCAAAGCCTTTTTATGGACTAGAATGGCTACATCCGCCCAAATCAAACATGGCCGCCGAGCACTTCCTGTGGGCGCCGAGTAGTGGGATTTGATAGGTGGTTACCATGGCAGCGGTCAGGGCCCACTGGTGGCGTCGTACGCGCGCTGCCGGAAGTGCATTGTGGGTTGTTGTTTTTTTCCCCGCAGGAATGGCGGGAGCAGGTTTTGATCCGCTGGGTGAGGTAGTGGACGGCAGCGAGCTGCGGGTGGTGAGCTCCCTGGACAGCCAGGGGCACTGCGTGCTCAGTAACCTGGCCGAGGTGGTGGAGAGAGTGCTCAGCTTCCTGCCCATCAAACCCCTGCTCAGAGCTTCATGGTGTGTGGGTGACACTGCATCCTCCCCCCCCGCCATGGGCAGGACACCACACTCATACACCAGGCATGGACTAAGGAGAACGCTCAGATAGTGAAAAAACTACAGCTCCCATGATGCTGCGCCAGCCTGCTTAATGACAAAGCATCATGGGAGCTGTAGTTCTAACTGTCCAGCTTCCTTTTGACCTCCCTGGAACTCCCCATACATGCTTACAGCCAACCTCACTGACATTAAAATGTATCTGGGTAACTGAGTGAGCACTAACCTGTCACTCAGCCTTTTTATCCTGATATGTTATCTGTTATGCACTATATATGGGCTGTGCTATTCTGTATAATGTGTAATGTATGGCTTATTTAGAATTATAGGATATGGTGTAATTACTGTAAAAAAGATAAATATATTCACATTTTAGCACCTGGGCTATTCTGTATAATTAGGAGTATAGTATGTGACTTATTTAGAAATTATAGCATATGGCATAATTACTGTAAAAGACGATAAATATTAAATGCTAATGGGAATTCTGTATATTTGTTATCTTCAGAAGCATGTTCTGCTTCAGATGTTATACTTTTGGGTTTTCTATGTTGTGTTTCAACTGTTCCCGAGCAAGCTCACTGGTTAGTGAGTGTGGAGCTACATGTATGACAACAGGACTGACATCAGAAATAACCACACGCAATCATTTGGGACCTCTGACATGTAACTAGACAGGCACACAAATGCACCACTAATATAAGGGAGGGCACACAAACCGGAAGGTCAGTCAACTCTGCAGTACTTCTTGACCAAAGAACAATGCCAATTCTCACACTAGTAGGCACGAGCATTCGTAGAGCTAAAAATATGAACTTTATTATACACTGATTGAAGTACAAAGGACATATATCAAACAATATACATTCAATACCAAACATCAAAACTAAACAGACATCACAGCAAGTATACATACATTACTCTAAAACACACTGCTTAAGTAAACGAATCCTTTGACCAACACCACCAAATTATCTCATACATGCCGAGAATATACAAAAAGGAACCCCACCCCTCCACATTTTATTAACAGCCTTTACAGGTTCTTGCTGAAACTAAATATAAGAATTATCTATTTTGCTAACAATGTTTAATTGCTAGGCATGGACACCATCAAATTACGTATACTCTAGCATCCATAAATTGGCATGCTTCAGTTGACCTTGTGCATACCGATTTAGTAGGTCTGGCTAAGACCTCTTACGTGATTTTTTTTTTCATTCCAAATTGTTCTCCAGATACAGAGTTGTAATGACTTGAAAACATAATTTGATGTTTGTGCCTAAATGCTGATTAGGAAAAATTCTCAAACCATGCTATAGACACTACTTTGCTTAAATTATGCAATTCGATACAATTTGGTGTTTAGTAAACTAAATATAAAAATACATGATCATGTTTAGCAGAAAATTCACATAAACACAAGGTAAAAAGAGAAGCTGTAAATGTTATCCTAGCAACCTACATTTCTACCTTACCTTTACCTTTTGTGTTACTGTGTGTCCAACTCATCTGGTTACAAATGTGTCTGTTAGTCCACCCATATTACAGTGCTACGGAATTTGTTGTCGCTTTATAAATAATATCTTCCCCACTAGGTGGCACATTGGCGAAGTCTGCTTTCTCTGTACAACAGAAAATGAATACATTGCTTTATTAAAGAAATTCCCTTTATTGTTCTATTTGGTCATAGATTGCATTATTGACTTTGGTCAGATTTTCAGTGTGTGTATATTAATGACTTAAGAATCAGCTTTGTTACTTTTTTATGCATTTGCAATGCTCTTCTTGGTTTTAGTGTGTGCCGGCTTTGGAGGAATTGTGCTCTACGCAAGCTAAAAGCAAGGCAGAGGATAGCTTGGGTATCCTACACTGAAGACACTGGAGACCTGCCATCTACTCCTCACCCATTGTCCAATGTGGTAAAAAGAGAACTTGAGGTAAGGATATTTTACGAATATGTGGTGGTTGCTCATTATATTTGTACGCTCTGAAAAGCTTAAGTATGCCATTGATTTACCTTCATGTGTGCAATAGGGTTTGTTAGTTTTTGGGTTTTTTTTATTTTTATTTATTTTTATTGAGGTTATAATGTATTTTACAACAAATAATAAAGAATAGTTAAACATACTATTTGGGGAAGGAAAGGGATGGAAAACTTGGAAATAGGAAAGGGGATGCATCCATAGCAATAAACATATGGAATATTGTACAAAACAGTAGTTATACATCTTTGAACTTAACAAAATATATATTCTATAAGCAATAATTTTTTTTTTTTTTTTTTAATCTTTTTCCCATTTTTCCCAAATATGTTGGTTTGCATATAAATAAGTATTCTTTCTATAATACAATTTGTTTGCTTTACTATCTAAAACCATGGTCAACATTTCTGTACATGTAGGTAAATTTTTAGACTTCCAGTATCGAGGTAGACTTGAAGTAACTGTGATTAGGATGTGGCCTATAATTATTTTGTCAATTTTTGCAACAGACTCTGGGAATTTCTTAAGTGCTAGTTCTGATGTCAAAATACTTATATCTTTGTCCACTTTAATAATCAAATCATGAATCCTCTTCCAGTACCTGGCTAATTTTGGACAAAACCACCATATGTGCGCCATGTTTCCTGTACCTCCACAATCCCTCCAACACCAGTTTGAGTACACCTTATTCATGTTGTGTAGTCTAGACGGAGCCAGGTACCAGCGATATAAAATCTTATAGTGGTTTTCAAAATGATCTGTACAGTGCGAAATGTCCTTCAGAGCAGTAAAAAAAAAACAAAACATTCTTTCAAACTGTATTGTGTACCTAACTCCATCTCCCACGACAACATATGTCTTCAGTTTGTCTGAAGGTTTAACGTTAAACATAAAATAGAGAGATGATGCCTTTTCTTCCTGGATTATGCAGGAAAATCTTTTCCAGAGCTGAAATTTCGAGGATCATATAGTTTTTATCTGTTTCTGGAACGTTAAATAATTCTTTCAGCTTGTTTACTATCACTGAACAGTTAATCCTAGATTCGTCCGGTAAACCGTACTTGAATTTTAATTTATCAAAAGACAGTATGCCATGCCTTGAAAACAATTATCTAAATAAGCTATGGAATAAGAATGTCAGAAATCTATGTCTATAGATGGCACATATTCCTTGAGCAATGTGAGTGGCATTGTTCTATATAAACCTCTGACTTGGTTATTATTTCTAAAAATAAGATCCCAAGTTTAAAACATTGAAGAGAATATCTTCATAGTTCTTGGTCTCTTTGTCGGGCATACCCAAAGAGCCTCTTTGAGTATAAATGGAAAAGCCTTCACCTCTTCCATTTCTAACCATTTTGGTTTATTCATATTGTTATTAAAACGAACTGCAACTGCGGCATTGGTAGCGAAATAATATTTACGAATATCAGGTACGCCAATACCCTCATTGAATTTATTATGTTGCAAAGTAGTTAGTTTGATTCTGCTTGGCTTCTTGTTCCAAATTAACTTTTTAAAATTACTGAGTTAATTTTTTAAAAGAACAATAACGGGATAGACAGGGGTATGGTCCTAAAATAGTACAAGATTTTTGGAAGGACTGTCATCTTGATGGATGCAATCCTACCCAACCACGAGAGCTCCATCTCCTTCTGTAAAACGGGCCATGCCTTGTTCAGATTATAAGTATGCATTTTTGTTAAATTTTTACATAAGCTAATGCCTAAATGGTCTATAAAGTCGTTTCTCCAGTCATATAAATATAACTTCCTTAGAGTCATAAGGTCTAAGTGATTAACATTAAAGGGAAGAGCCTGTGTTTTAGATTCGTTAAGTTTGTAAAATGATATCTCTCCATACTGGTGTAAAGTCTCGGACCTTAAACCAGAAGCGGTTACATGAGCTGTGGGGTTGCTATAAAGTGCCGCAATTGCATTTATAAAAGATGAAGGAACATTAAATTTGTTTAGTGTCTTCCATACGTACCCCCAGTGAATTCTATCGAACGCCTTCTCCGCGTCTAAAGATAGAAGTAAAGAAGGCGTCTTAATCGAATTAATGTGTTGAATCAAATTGATAAACCTCCTCGTTCCGTCTGGTGCTTGTATAAAACCTACTTGATCCTTATTGATAATCAGTGGAATCAATTTAGCCAATCTATTTGCTAACACCTTGGAAAATATATTTGAATCATTAATAAGAGAAATAGGTCTGAAATTAGAGCATTTATCTGGAGTTTTACCCAGTTTTGGTAAGGCAACTATCTGTGCACACAAGGACTCCTCTGGCATCTTACCCCCCCCCCCCAGTCTTATAGGAATTGAATAATTTTGCCATATGGGGAATTAAAATTTCACTGAAAGTTTTATAATATGAGATGGTAAATCCATCAGGACCAGGGGCCTTCCCTGATGGCATAGATTTGATTGCCTCTGATATCTCCTCAGCCGAAATGTCACATTCCAAACTCTCCAATTTGTCTGGTGGTATCCGAGGCAATGTAACCCTATTCCGGAACTGATACAACAACTGGCATCCAAATTCGATCCGAAATTGTATAATTTGCTATAATATTCAGCGAACAAATTGCTAATTTTTGTTGGATGAAAAACTTTTTCCCCCTGATTATTAATCAAATAGGCAATTTTGGATTGAGCATTCACATGCAGCAGTTTGGATGCCAGAAGAGTTGAGGCCTTATTGATCTTTAAATAATGTTTTCCTAAGTCGTCTCACCATGAGAAAGGTACAGTCTAAATTGATTTTGTTGGTTTTTGACTTGATATCTCCTATCATTGCTGATAAGGAAGTCGATGGGCCAGATTTGTTTGCCTGATTCAGGTTATATAATTCTTTTTCTAAAGTTCTTAAGTCTTTGTTATTAACTCTCTTCAGGTGAGACGCCTTTGAAATTACCTCGCAACACAGCCTTGTGTGCATTCCAAGCCACCTCACCAGAAACTTCAGATGAAACATTATCTGGAAAATAATCATTTAAAGCCCTTTCAGCTAATTTCCTATTTTCCTCTTCACTGAGCAAGTAATCCCCAATTAACATACTCTGTTCTGGATTAAAGATATAATCTCATCCAGATGCCTTACAATAGGAGCGTGGTCCAACAAGTTTTCAAGATGCGCGGAATTAGAGCACTCTGAACCATAAACCTGTCTATCCGCGAATACATATTCTTCAAAACAGAATAAGTAAAATCTTTCTACGTCATGCAAAAGTCTCCACATGTCTTACAGACCACATTCAATCAAATATGTAGAACAGTTTTCTGCCAGTCTGTCACTATCCCTTCTGCTAGACTGAGTGGAATCTTCTCTAGCATTAAGTTCACCATCCAAAACAAAATGCGTATCAGCACACATTATCAGGTGTCCGCATGCATTCTCGTTCACTAAGTCCATTATGTTTCTAGAAAAATTTAACTGTCCGGTGTTCAGGAAATATACATTAACAATAGTATACTCTATATTGTTAATTTTACCTATCCATAGCACATATCTCCCATCATTGTCTGTTACTACTTTATCTGTTGAACAGGCCACATTTCTATTGAAAAAAATCGGTGCTCCTCTAGATTTTGTTTTATATACAGTATGGGATAGGGATGGGAAGAGCTTTTTCATTAACTTATGTTCTTTATCTGCTTTAAAATGCATCCCTTGTATACATACAACATCAGACTTGCATTTCTTAACTTCTTTAAACAATAATCTCCTCTTGTGCGCAGTGTTCAGGCCCCTCACGTTAAAGGATAAAAATTTCAGCACCATAATCTACAGTGAGTATTGTAGAAATAAGAGAAAAGGAAAATAACAATGTGAGAGATCGAACACCGACACTCCAAGAGAAAATAAGCAAGTCCAATAATTCTATAACACATAAACCAGATTTCTTGCAAATGTAGACAAAGATAAGGCAGTATAAAACCGATATAAATATTAAAAGCCATATTGAGTTAAGTAAATTAAACCATATAATGTCTATTAAAGTAGTATCCATTGTATGTAACTTATTAGTCTCAAAAAATTGGATGGACAAGAAAATATAAATTATAAAAAGGGAATAAAAAACTTGGGTATATTCCCCTATCAGGGGAAAAAATAAAACATTCACACAAAAAAAGGCAATGAGGGAGAATAAAAGAAAATTCTCCATCTCTGGATATTAGGCCCAGGTTGGGGGGGGAGAAGCTTTTTGGGAACAAAGGGAATCATTGTATTTAAAGTACAATCATTAAACAATGTACAAATAAAATAATTATTTTAAAATAAATATGAACTTGTTAAGTCATTAAAGTCCTGGGTTAATCTTTGGTGTTATATAACTTCAGACATCTGAACCCAGAAGTTAATCCAACTAAAGAAATTAAAAGAAGAAATATATTCACATATTCAAGTAATCCCAATAATCTTCACAACAAATGATGGGATCTGTTATTTGATTTAAAGATCATGAAAAGAGAGCAAAAAGTGACAAAATGAAAACCCAAAACAAAATCGCACTGTGATGCAATCGTTGCATTGGGCAGACTGAGATTTTATATGTTTGGGGGCATAACCATGACCCCAAAAGGTGTGTGTGTGTGCTGAGCTCTTTTGATTAGAGCTCCTATGACACCGGCACGCATGCGCCGCATCATAAAAAGGGGTGGGTGTCTGGCTTCATAGCACAGGTGACCGGAGTCTCATGCTGCGTGTCAGCTGCGGTTGCCGGATCAAAACGGTGGCTGATTGACGGACCGCAAAGGCACGTACAGAGGGACTGACAGTTTGCCACTATATTATCTTTATATGGTGCAAAGATGATAGCAACACTGTGTTGCAATGACCTATTACATTAAGGCATCACAAATTACTTACTGATACTGAGGCTTTCTTTTCAGCTGAGTGTTCCTTTTCTGTAGGTTATACATTGTTATAATTTATGTTATAAACTACCAATTTCTGGTAGTTTTCCATCACTCAACAATCAGCCGCATATCAGTTTACTATTGCTGAACCTGTGCTGGAATGTCCGCCCTTACCGTCTGTACCAGTCTTGCTTTGTGTGACCTTGAATTCTTGAAGGACAGTATGTGCTCAATACGTGTGTACTTGCTTAAAAGTATTAAATGTCAAAATGTTAAATATATCCTGTCTTTTGTTTTTGTTTTTCAGCATATTTATGTGCTTCCACACATCTTTCTTTATGTCACAGACAGTCTGATTTTACAAACTGATGGCAACGACCAAGTTTCAAAGAGGGGTAAGATGGCACGGCAGGCTGTGCTGTGAATGATGTACAACTGAGACATGTTTACATTTTATCACTGACTCTTCATCAAGCATATAAGCGTTTTTTTATTAAATTTTTTGTGTGTATGTCTATTATGATTTTGTTTTGCATCCTTCAGGATACTAAACTGTTCCTCTAAAGATTTTATTAATGAAGTATGTACGTTTTTACTGTTTCTCATCACAATCCGCAGCTTAGACTCAGATGGATCATATACTGTGGCAAGAAGTTGCCAGAAACAGCGTCATAGAATTTAAAAATGTTTTCAGTTCAGCTTAAGCACCTCAGTGCTCATAAAGTTTCTTTTTCTTCAGTCTATAGTTGAGCAATAAGTTAGAGATTTGCATTGGCGACACACCATACTGGCTTAACTGCAGTCTGCTCCCAGAATTCTAACTAACTTGTTACTGAGAGCAGCCCCTCATTAGATAAAGGCATTGACATGGTAGGAAGTGTACTGTATTGATTCACATGGAAGGATATTAGTGCACAGAGCACTTTAAAGGGTTTCTCCAAGTAAAAAAAAAACCAACAAACTTTTTTTTAAATAAAACACAGTTTTTGGTTAGAGTGGAGGTAAGTCCCATGGAATGGGCTGAGGAGAGCACTTGAGCAGAACTGTGCCTTTATTGGTCGACTGATTCCCAATAGAATTAACACTAGGCAGCCCAGAACTGTCTTTCTAAGTTTGCTAATGATGCTACCAGAGGTAGAGTTACTCCTCAGGCAACATCTTTGGGTATTTCTGTATGTACAGCTTTTTAAACTGAATGTTGGCTGGGAATTTTCAGTCCTTTATTTTTATAACCTCCCCCCCACCCCCAACAGCATTTATATTCTGCCTCTTTATTTCTTTGTTTTACTTAGATTATGATGTTGACCAATCTGCTTAGATGGATTATACACCATATTTGAATGGCAATTCAATCAGACCTCAGTACGCTTCTAATCTCTTGGTCCCATCACACACACTTTGCTGTGTTCTCTTCATTCTGTCTCTCTTCCTTTTTGAATTACCTTAAGTTTGTTTACTTCCTTTCTCTGTATAATGCTATTCTATCTTGTTTTTATACCACCTATTGTAATAAGCCACAAGACCCTTATTGCATTCTTTTTTTTCCATAATAGGTGATC